TGGGCGGTTCCCCGTGTGGGGGGGCTGTAATCTGAGAGGGGGGGCATAGCCCCTGTGTGGGGGCTGTAACCCCTGTTGGGGTGCCATAGCCCCTGTTGGGGGGCTGTAAACCTTGTTGGGGGGCTGCAACCCCTGTGGGGGGGCCATAGCCCCAGTGTGGAGGCCATGGCCCCTGAAGAGGGGCCGTAGCCCGTGTGGGTGGGGGGGCAGCAAAATATATATTCATGTATTCATGAATCCATTAAACATGTGGATGGGTCGGCTTCGACCTGGAAGGGTGTGGGCAGTGGGGTCCCGCAGGGCTCGGTCCTTGGACCAATACATTTTAATGTCTTCATCAGCGACTTGGACGAGGGAGTGAAATGTACCCTGTCCAAGTTTGCAGATGACACAAAGCTATGGGGAGAAGTGGACACGCCGGAGGGCAGGGAACAGCTGCAAGCAGACCTGGACAGGTTAGACAAGTGGGCAGAAAACAACAGAATGCAGTTCAACAAGGAGAAATGCAAAGTGCTCCAGCCCTATTTTTCTAGGCCTTTATCCTGACTCCCAGCTGGTGTAAATCACTCTGCTCACCTCAACAGAGTTACACTGACTTACCCTAGCAGAGAACCTGGCCCATCTCACGCTGAATCACAGCAGTGCATGATTGCAAATACTATTCAGTGCATTGCCTTGTCATAACTCTGGAACACAGTCAATAGGGGAGCAGAATAACAACAAATCGAGCTCAGTTACGTGGGAACAGATTAGGACACCTGAAGAAGAGAATAAACCACATCTACAAGAGGGAGGGGGTTACAAGAAATTATGGCCACAAGCTAGCAGAGAGCAGATTTAGATTGGACATTAGGAAGAACTTCTTCACAGTTAGAGTGGCCAAGGTCTGGAACGGGCTCCCAAGGGAGGTGGTGCTCTCCCCTACCCTGGGGGTCTTCAAGAGGAGGTTAGATGAGTATCTAGCTGGGGTCATCTAGACCCAGCGCTCTTTCCTGCCTATGCAGGGGGTGGGACTCGATGATCTATTGAGGTCCCTTCCGACCCTAACATCTATGAATCTATGAATCTATGTCTTTAGAGTTCAATTTATTATTATGATAAGAGACTTGCTTTAACACTGTAGATATATCAATAAAACATTGCCCAACTTATCACTGTCTCTCTCTCTCACTTTCTCTCTCTTTATAATGGTGTTTTGTTTTAATTATGGAAGAACATGGATTTGGGGGTATTTTACAGAGTGACTGGGATTTTTTTATCAGGGATTTTTCAGTTTTCCAATAGGGAATACCAGAATTCCTACTAGGGAGGCCAGTGGCAGGACCCTGCCTGCTCAGAGCTGGCATCTTGGACCCAGCTGAAGGATATGCTTTGACAGTTTAAAGAAGGCCACCATACCTGGAACATCTTCTGGGCGATAGCTGCCCAGATGGCCAGGCATACATGGCAATAGCGCCGCACAGAAGCCAACCCTGCAACCACAGCCCACTGGCAGCTGGCTCAGAGGGGAGGATGCCTCTACTGGGTCCGCAGGCCCCATCCAGGTCTGGCAGGTGCGCAGCAGGTCACAGTCAGGCAGCAGCCCCCACAGCCAGACTGCTGCAGTGGGTAGAGGGTGCAGGGAACTCTCAGGGCTGCCCCGACAGTCAAGCAGGCAAAGGGGTAGTGTCCCCAGGTACCAGCTGGCTGGGCCCCAGAAGCTCCTGAGAGTGAGTAACCCCGAGCTACTTGCCAGGGCAGCTTTTTGTATGGATGGGGCCAGGACAGGGCTACTTTTTATACTGCTGGGGACAGCACAAGTGCTGGCCCTGGGCTTTAGCTCCCCCTGGCTGCAGATCCAGGAGGAGCCAGGCAGGGTTATTTTGCCCCAAGTGGCACAATTTGCCACACACCAAAGTGTATGTCCAAGCACGTGCGTTGAGGGGAAAAAGCCCCGGCTCAAATTTGCACTGCTTCTATTTGAGCTGCTGCAAACTTGAGCTGCTTGCATGTGTGGATGCGCCCCGTGAATTGTGCAGGTCTACTTGGTCAAAATTATACTGTCAGAATGTGTGTGATGGAAAAGCAAGCTGTATCTATGCTGATGATCCTGGGAAGAGAACAGAGTAACTGGCACTCTTCAATATGGCCCATTTTGGTTCCACAGGGAACTTTGTGACTGGATTTCTTCTGAGCCTGTGATGCTTGAAAGGCCCTTTTATGCAAGTTTTATTCCTTCCCCATTGCTTCCCCTTCATTCAAACTTAAAGTCTTGTTTTACTAGCTCCTTCTAGTCTTCATTTAATCCAGAGTTATGTTGAGTAGCATTCCTATATGCCAGTTCTTCCATATTCTCTGAAAAGGATACCCCCTTCCAAACTGTTTCCTAAAGGTTTTGAAAACAGTATCTTATTCATTCCATTTCCAAATTTTGGAGTGATGGCACTAGAGTGGCTCACAGCAAGACATTATTTATCTTATTTCTTTAAATGGACACCAACTTCATTGCTGATCTCTGCAGAAATGTCCCTAGGTCTTGCAATATTTAATAATTTACTAAGGCAATAGATCTTGCAAGGTGAGCTTACATTTTGTGTGGGAAATATTCCTTATTTTTTTCAGGGTCTAAGGTAAAGCTGTCCATGTCAACTAAACAATGTATCCAGCTTGATAGCACTTTAAAAATCAATCTTCTAGGTCACATACAGACACTGCACTTAGACTGATCTAAGTAAACGTACATCAGTCTAAGCCCATAAGTGTACAGAAATTTGGTGCATGTAGACTGGTCTAAAAGTGGTACACATGGCCTAAGATAGGCCTGGTCAGAGGTACACTCAATTCAGATTGATTCAGATTAGACCAATGCATTGAACTTGTCTATTGGTTCCTAGACTGTAACTCAAGTCGTAGCCACAATGATTTTCTTTTTCAAAGCTATGACTCACAAGGCGCATCTACACATGACACTACATTGCCGTAGTGACACACTATGGCAATGTAGCTTGTTGCTGCAGCAACATAGCATTGGTAGGCACAAACTATGATGAGGCTACGTCACCATAGTGACAAGCTACCATGCTATAGTGTGTCGCTACAACAGCGCAGCTGCTAAAAATAACCATACGCCACCAGAACGGTGCAGTAAAGGCTGCTACTGTGTCATCATTTAATACTTCCTAAAGCAAGTACTAAATGACAGTGCAGTAACAACTATGCCATGGAGGGCACATATAAATGCACCCACAGTTCTCAATCCCCTTACAACTACCATAAATAAGCTACTGGACATTTAACTCTATTTTTTCTAAATGATATTGCAATAGTAAATCTCTTTATTATTGATTGCATGTTTTTAATTGCTAGTTACAACTAAATGCAATTCAGGTACTACATTTGATTAGCAGTGCCCTCATCTCCCTATTCTGCCTGCAAGTTAGGGTGTTCTTGGTGTTCCTGGGCATTGTGCCTTGTAGTTGTGTGAGAGAGTTGTTTGTGTGGTTTGAAGAATAGGTTATTTGCATAAAATGGTTTAGATAGCGATAATCCTGTGTTGAATAGGAGTTTGGACTAAATGACCTCCTGAGGTTCCTTCCACCCTTACTGTTCTATGATTTTGTGATTCTGATAAAATGAAGAAACTAGATGACCTCCTACCACTGGATACCAAGTAAGTATAGATGGACAGATTTGGATTTTTTCAGAAATAAGAGGTTAAATTCTTGATTTCCGGTATGTTACTATTCTTATGGACTCCGTGGGGCTTGAGGGTGCTTACATACTTCTAAAACCAGCCACATTTTTATTTAGACATCTAAATATGGATTTGGGTGCTACTCAAATTTGAAAATGTCATCCATTATTTCTACTTCAAATGTTCAGAAAACATCAGTTATTTGGGTCAAGTGTAACTTCAGAGCTCTCTTAACAGTTTGATACCACTGAACATTATAACATGTCATAAATCCAGGGATAAAATGCAGACCTTCTCCATGTCTTCAAAATAAATTCTGAAGGCAAAGCAGCAGTTGGCTTTCATATTATTATTGATGCTGAACATCATCTACTATATTGCTCAGCAATTCAGCACAGTTTCGGGAACTAATACCAGGTGCATCCAGGTCATGTAGAAACCACCATTATCAGATTCTGTACACTATTCACTTTCAAGTATTGGTATGTTTCACTTAACCTTCAAACCAAGCCCATATAAATGTTTCCCTTCCATCCATCCAAAATAATTCTGTAAAACCACAAAACTAAGATAATTCTGTAAAACCAGTTTATTTTCTGTTTATATGATAAACTTTTCCAGGTACCACATTTCTCTCCTACCCATAACCTGTTCCATTCCTCACAGTCTCCTCTGTCAGGCACACCTGATGATGTTTTCTTTGATCTATGTAGTGCTGCTGAAACTGCCCTGCCAACTCTTCCAGCCTCTCAGCAGTTGAGATAAGGCTGATGTTGTCATCAACAGGTTCTGAGGCACTCTTTGGATCCACAGTAACTGTGTGAGAGCAACAAAGATCCTTTGATGAGCTGTGAGCTGAGGTACTTGGAGACAGCAGAGTTCCAGATGCCGATGAGCCTTGTGTTGATAAAAAGAAGCAAGCAGATTCTGGCATTGGAGAAGTTAGAGGAGAACATGGACTATTTTAATGAGACAAAATTTGACTTTCCATCTCTGAGAGACACCAGAAGAATAGATAAAATCATAATCAAAAAAGCCCTATAACTTTTACTATTGCAACATTATCACAGAAGCAGATGAGCCAATTGACTTCAGAACTGTGATAAGATGAGACTATGTAGTGGGGCATTAACACTGCTTCCTGCTCCCACCCATGTCTAGGCACAGTGCTCTTAACCTATATCTTGCTTTTAAAGTACTATTATTTTCCATATTTGTAGCTTGATGGGGTTGCTATAAATAACAGTGCAATAATGACATGACATTGGAGCTTCACAAATACAATCAAGTGACCAGGTTTCTTCTCCAAGAATTGTAAAATGCCACTTGCCTCTCACTATTAGAATCTGGACAAAAATGAGATTGACTAAAAATACCATTTGCTTTAGCAACTCTGCTTCCTTCCATTGCAAATCTCCATTTTTCACTCTATGGGAAAATAGATGACTATCAGTTTAACATATTTTTTTGATGAACAGAAAGCTCAAGCTGGAAGAGAGACTATTTTTGAGCAAGTTGTAACATGCCAGCATCCTATAAACAAAATCCAAATCTAGAGGCCTCTCTTGAGGCCTTTAACTACACGCAGCTGCACTAAGTGATGGGTGCAAGCGTAGCTAAATTGATATCAACTGCTTATTAAACAAGCCATGACCAACAGATGGAAGCACTCTGCTTTATTATGATGGCATCCTCCAAAGGTTGAATGAGCTATTTGGAGAATGAGAGAGACAAATGGATCCCAGGAAATCTGAACACCCAATGGGGGAAAAATAAGTCCATGCACTATCCTTGCCAGTTACAGCTGCATTCTCAAGTGTGTGGCTTGCATACTTTAATCAGCTGGATTTGCAATGGAATGGGGGAAAAAACAATTACCATTCTCAAAGGTTTCCTACCTAGTTCAAATAGGCAGCTACAATAATTGTTACCATACTCACTCCAAAATCATGCCTTATTACAAACTAAAAAATGGAAGATTTTTCTCTGCTTGTCTGTAATTCACCTATACCTCATCTACAACATTATATAATTGCATTCAAAATGCATCTATGTATACCTTGCTTGCAAGCCTTTTCTTATTTCTTATTTGTCCCTTGCTGTAAGATGACTAACAAGGTCACTGTTTGAGTTAATTAAAAAGAAAATTGTATCACATAAACAAACAATTCTAGATATCATTGGGCAATAAGTAGGAAAGAGAAGAGGCAGTGGAAAGACAAGAGAAAAAACAGTTTTTTCTAAAGAAACAAATACATATGAATAGCTGCATGTTACTTGAATTCTTTTTTTCAAAATGTGCAATTAAACATTTGTAAACTGTTTATTATTAAATAGTTTTATTAGACTTGTCTCGGGAAGGATGAAATAATGGCCTAACTGAAACGAATGGGAGTTTTGCTAGTATTTCACTGTACTGTATGAACATACATGACTAAATAAAAAAGGAATGATAGGAGCATGTATTAAGACAAATATATTATCTGATATATATAGGTTTTGGTACACATGGGAGCGAGAGAAATACTTCAGATCAAGACAGAGCATGAATAAGGACATCAGTCATGCAGTCCTTATTCTTCAAGTTAACGGTCATTATCCTGAATAAGAACAACAGAAATGGGCTACTGATTATACGCATCCTGATAACAGTCAAGAATATTTTTGCTAAGAGTGCATTTGCTAACACATATTTCATAATCCTGTAATACATGTCTCTTACATTTCTATGTACCCACAAGTAATAGATATATTAGGCTTCATTAATAGTCCATGTATAGATTCTTCCAGTTGAATAAATGTGCCTGCTAGCTGAAGTAATAAAATCTCTCTTATGTCACTCTCATTCATATTGTAGAGCACTTACCCAAGTAATCACATTAAAATCTATGGAATGCTAAAACGCATGCATGAAATTAACATATTAATTGCTGATGTAAGCAAATCAGAATAAAGAAGTTTTACGTTCCGCATAAACGAGCAAGCAAAGCAGGATATCTGAGGGCAAGTAATTTAACCAAAGATAAAAAGAGGATTTTTGTAATTGTTTCAAATGTTTTTCTCACCCTGTAAAAGCATGAGCAGGATGGTGAAGTAACACATATAATTATGCACTAGCTTCACTAGAGGCAAACAATCAGGACTGTCAAGTAACTTGTTTTTGTAAGTAAAAAGACAACCAATTTTTCAGGTATTAGAAACTATTAAAGTTGAAATATGTGAAAGAACTACAAATCTTTTAAATAACTCAGTTCTAAACGCAACAGACTGCTTTCAGAAATCTGGAAAATGTAAGCATTATCTAATTGCTGTTGAATATGTATAGCCTATTACAAATTGCTAGTTTTTAACTATTAAAAGAATTTGCCAGCATTCTGAAATGTGTCTAATATCGATATGATGAACTTTCTCAAAAATCTACCTTCAACAACAATTAAGAAATAGTGAAGATTTTGAAAATAACCAATAATGGAAGGAAAGAGGCACATTGACCATTTGAATATATGAATCAAGGAGTCTGCATGCCTGTCATCTGATGGATAGATATTAAAGATATTTAAGTGCCAAATGAAGTAGTAGTAAGATTTTCTAATAAGATTTTAAAAAGCACTTGCATAGGTTAGACATCTGGCTTGCGAGTTAAATGTCTAATCTACTCAGACGCATGAAATTTCCACTAGGGCCCTATCTGCATGTTTAGCTTCCTACATGTCCTCACATTTGGTCTGTAGAGATTAATGGAAAAATGTACAGAACAGTTTTATGACCCTCACTCATAGCTAATGCATACTCATCCTGCAAGCAATAATTCTGATTTACATAGGACTACTTGTGTGAAAAATTGCTCACCAATACAAGTAAGGGTTGCAAAATTGGGGCTGCAGTAAGGGGCCATATAGGATCGTGCCATCAGCTAGTATAAACCATTAATTTACACTAGATCTGGATCTGCCCCCTGGCAAAAAAAAAGTCATGCCAGTGTCTTGATACAGTTATAAAGATAGTAGATCAAAGAAATAAAATACATGGAAAGTATGCCTGGGTTTTAGTATCATGTTTGATATGGGTTTCATGGCTATAAGCACATCATATGGTTTGAAAACTGATTAAACTACAGCAAACGAAGGGTAGTGCTATGCAGCTTTATATGAAGACAGGGGATGTACTGAATGAAAACCTGCAGGGATCAGTGAAAGGTCCAGTCTAATTAGATATTTTTGTTAATTGTTTGTGGACTAAGATCCTCCTTTCTCCACTCCCTGCTGAGACATAGATGAGTATGTAAAGAAAAATAAATAAAAAGGAAGAGAGATAAGGTCTGTGATGGCACAGAAAATCAAAAAGAAGCCACTCTGCACCATGCTCCACTCAACAGCAGCTTGAAGAATCTCCTCTGTAGGATTCCCAGATCTGGTTAGAGCAAGGCTAGGCAGTCAAAGTCATGGCCACTCTCTTCAGTTTCATCCTTCTTTTAACCTGCAGCCAATTAGTAACAGCAGACACTGATTACATCAGCTGAATCTCAAGTTCATTCATCTTCTGCACATTGGAATGCCCAGTGCTGAGGAGTTGTGAGGTAGTTGCCTATTGAAACAGCTCATGAGGAGGCTACGCTGCTATGAAGAAAGTAAGAGGTATAGGCAGCCCTGCAACAGCAACCTGTAGTCCTGATGCATCTCACAGCATATGAGGACTAGGAGAGTCAAGCCAGGAAGTGAGTGAACCCCAGTCTAAACTGGGGAATTTGACATGTCTTCCTTTATTTCCTTTTTTACTAAGCAGGATACAACAGGATCCAAAGGTAAAACTGATGGCAAATTAGTTCCGTTTTTAATGTGCCTGATAGCAGCAAAGGCCAATGGGGGCTTGTAATGTGTAGCATTCTACCTCAGTTCAAAGAAGTGAGGCTTCCTCTGGAAGCTAAAGTTGCTGAGCCTTCTTGTGAGGCTGCAAACAGCTTCAATGCTATCTGATATCAGTGCAAATTAAGGCCTCTCAAACTGTTACAGGAGGGACTCAAAGCCTCACAGTTTCAAGCCCTGTGGAAGTCTGATGAGACCGTTCCTAGAATACTGCTGCTTCAGTGCCATGCAGATGGAATTCAGCTATGGAAGCCCAGAAAAAGATGAGTAAGGACTAATGAGGAAAGATTAGAAGAGCTATATATTGAAGATACCAGTAACTAGGGATGATTGAGTGAACATAATCCACAATTATTAAGAAGAATGTAAGCAAACAATAAGGATGTCAAGATTTTTTTTAAACCAATGTAATGGGTATAACTGTAGTGTAAAAGCTATGTTGTAGACATTATGGCCCAGAAATTATGCAAGAGGCAAGCATTTCTTAAGGCAATATCTTTTATTGGGCCAATTATGTAGTTGAGATGAGGTTAGACAAGTTTTCAAAGTTTTCAGGAAGACCTGACAAAGAATGTCTTGTATTCAAAAGCTTGTCTATTAACCAATACATAGTTGGTCCAATAAAAGATATCACCTTAAGATATCTATACCTCAAGAATATAACTAGCATAAACAGATAAAATCCTCATGTCCACACACTGAAGGTATGTCCAGAAAAATGAGCATGCATGCCTGTACTAACTTATGAGGAGCACTGTCTCAAACAAAAATAATGGAAGCTGGGCAGATTTCCGAAAGAAACTCCCAGAGTCACTGTTCTCCTGGCAGAGCAATGGGATACTGTAAAGGACTTAAGTGATCCATTTGGTTTCTAATATCCATGATTTTCTAATTTAACCAAATCAATTGTTTCCCCAATTGATTTTTTTTTTACCTTCAATTCCAACTTTGTCATGAGGCAGTGAATTCCTTCCTTTGCCTTTTACTTCTCTCCTTCTGGGAATAAACAAAAGCTCCTCCGAGTCTGACATCTCCTCTCTTGGATTCCTTCTGCTCTCTGTTGTCCCTTTTTTTTTCTTTTTCCCTCCATCTTCCCTTCCACTTCTTTTCTTTTCTTCTTCTTCTTCTTCCAGTGACAACTGATCAATGGGCTTCACAATTTGTTTGTTTGGGCTAAAATTGGACAAAGATACACACTGATGAAAACTGGACATATCTTTTAGAGCTTCAAAGCTTTCTAACTTATTAATTAGCAGATTAACAAATTGTACACCATTTGTCCCCATGTCTCTCTAGGCTGATAGAAGGAGGACTCTTCACACTGACTGACCACTTATCAAAATTCTACAGGTTGTAAGTACTATGGCTCAACTTGAGTTGTAGGAAGTAACAAAAAGCAAACTACAGGCCAACCCATATCAGAACCAGTGGAGTCTATATTTGTTAGGCAATGGTAGCTCTCACTCATATGCCCTAGTTGACTCTGTCACTAACAAAGGCTGTCTGGTCCCTAGGCAGTATTCCTGAGACTCTCATATTGTAAAATAATTCCCAGCTAAGAATTCCCATCATGCCATAGACAGTCCTTGGATAACTTAAAAATAACCAAAGGGGTACTTATCAAACAGTATAAAAGCAAAAACTCCTCCTCTCACTGCATTCAGGTCCAGATCCTTGAAAGTGTAAAATTCCCACTTGGTGCCTATTTGGTCCAAATCTTGTCTGGGGCCTCTAGATGCTTCTGTGATATTACCATCATCATCAAACTTTTGTTTCTTTGCATTAAATTACATTTATATTTGCCAGCAATGTGTCTGTTAAACTCATATGATGTGATGTTTGCCTATAGAGAGCATTGCCACTGAAGTTAAGCATTTTAACATGATTCTTTCTATAACGCTTCACATGACAAGTTTCAGCTATGAACACACTGCCATTGTTGACAACAGTCTCTGAAAAAAATATGCAGTATAATGAAAATCAGACACAATCTTTATTTGAATAATGCAAATGGCACTGCTAGTATTAGCACCAATTAATGTCTCTCTAATGACATACTACAACTTAATGATTTTAAATGCATAGTTTCTCACAAGTAGAGAAATAGTCATTAGACACTATGGGTGTTTATAGACATGCTCTGGGAGGTGGAGAGGGGCACTTTAATAACTGTAGCACCAAGAGCAGTGCTAACTAAAAACACCCAGGGCAACACATGTATCAGCACACCCGCACTAAAAAATGGTGCACTTTAGTTCAAAATGTGTGGCTGCCATTCTTTAGTGTGACGACACTGATACATATGAGGCTGGAGTCTGCTGGAGCAAAGTAATTACCAGGCTCCAGAAGACTTGATAAATCAAGTCTGCTCCAATGCACTGTAAATACAGCGCATCAGAGCAGCTTTCACATGTATATGAGCCCTACATATCAGATTTTTAAAAAGTCACTATTATAAAGTAATGTAATGGATAGTTCTGAATCTTTATGGTTCAGTCAGGAAACTAATTCAGTCAATGCCTGAAATGGAAAATTATTCAATTTAAAGTCTTAATGGAAAGCTAGAAAATACGGTAAATGAAGACATATTTGCAAAAGTGGAATATTTTGAGTCAGTAAATTGTGCTTATCAGACGCCATGTGGTCAAATCTTACAAACCTAAATTCTCCAAAAAGCTGAAATACAAAAATATCACTCACAATATCTAGGTAGGATTCAAACTCTGTGGCTTGCTTATTCAAAAAATAAGCCACAGGAAGCCACAAACATCCCCCTCTTCCCTGCCTGCATCATCCACAGCAACAGAGACACAACAAAAGCCCCAGGGCTGCTGGTTTCTTTGTCCTTGCGCCTCAAATGTCTCTGCTGCCCCAAAATTTCAAAAAAAACCGCAAAAACCCATTTTAGCCCCACCAACTTACGCTTCCTCACAGGCACTCTGTGTGCAGAATGGGCCCACACCTTTTCTCCCCGGAGCCCTGCTACTTCTCCGATTGGTCCTGGTGCCGTGGGAAAATTCCATGTCTCATGGTGGAAAAAAAGCTCGGATGCCCCTCTGCAGTCCAACCAGGCTTGAACTTAAAACCTCCTGGTTAGGCACACCGCAGGCAAGCCCCTAAGCCCCAGGAGAAAGACACCCCATCTGCTTTTCCGAAGTGCTGGAAGGAAGGGGAAGCTGGCAAAGCCAAAACGGCCTCTTTTCTTCATTGTGAATTTTAGAGCAGCCAGGAAGGTTGTGGCCCGAGCACATACAAGCCAGCAGAGATGGAGGCTTCTGTTGCATCTCCTGGGCTGTGCCTGATGCTGACAGGGAAAAGGGAGATGTTGGTGGCTGCCTATGGCCTCTTCTTGCAGGACATAGGCCCATCAGTCAAGGGTCTGTGTGGGGTGGGGGAGTGCTGGAGGAAAAACCTACATCTATTACTGTGGTCATCTGGTAGGCTGGGTCTTGGAAAAGAACAGCATTTGTGTTAGAGGCCTGGTGTTGTGGTGTGGTTTGTGTGTTTTGGACCACCAGGTTGCGAGTTCAAGGCCAGGTGTCTCCTCTGTCCTGGTATGAGCTAATTTTTTTTTTCCACCACAACACATGCAAGTTGCCATGGGCCCCACAACCAGTTGGACTAATGGTATGGCTCCGGGATGCAAACGTGCAGGCCTTGGCATCCCAGATTTCGGCTCGTGCTTCATTCAGAACACTCAGAGTGTCTGTGAGGAAGGGGAAGTTGGTGGGGCCAAAACGGCTTCTTTTGGTTTTTTCCAATTTTGGGGCAGCTGGGACTGTTGTGGCCTGAGCATGAAGAAGCCAGCAGCTGCGGAGGCTTTTGTGGTGTCTCTTGGGCTGCCCTTCATACTGGGAGGGAAAAGGGAGATGTTTGTTGCTGTCTGTGGCCTCTCTTGCAGGGCACAGGCCCATCAGTCAAGAGCTTATTATTATTTCTTTCTTTCTTTTTTTTTTTTTTAGCGTGATGTGTTGGTGGAAATACCTATGTATGTTACTGTCATCATCTGGTAGGATGGATCTTATAAAAGAGTAGAGTTTGTCTTGGAGGCGTGGTGTGGGGTTTGTGTTTTGGACCACCAGGTTGTGAGTTCAAGGCCGAGTATCACCTCTGTACTTGCCCCTACCCTGGTGCAAGCCATTTTTTTTTTCCCACCATGACACATGCAAGTTGCCATGGGCCCCACAACCAGTTGGACTGGTTCCAAGGCTCCGGGATGCAAAAGTGCAGGCCTTGGTGTGGCATGCCGAACCCCAAAGGTTTGCGCCCTCAACCCTTCTTTGGCCTCAACTGTCTCAGCTGCCCCCCCCCCAAAAAACAACATTTAAAAATGTCGTTTTGGCCCCACCGTCTTCCCCTTCCTCAGAGACACTCCGAGTGCTCCGAGTACAGAACGGGCCTAAGTGTGGGCCTCGGCGTGGCATGCCGAACCTTTAATTCATAATCTCTTGTCTGAGTAAACAGCATGCAAACTCCTAAGCTACAGGGCCAATACAGCCCCGCTGCCTTTCCACAGCACTGCAAACACCACAATCACATGCAGCTCTTTCCCAACACTAGCCCACACTAATAAAAAAAAAAAAATTAAAACCCTTGACCGATGGCCCTATGCCCTTAAAGTACATGCCAGAGCCAGACACAAACATCCCCCTCTTCCCTGACTCCATCATGCAAAGCCCCACAGCCCCGCAGATTCAACAAAAGCCTCCAAGGCTGCTGTCTTCTTTGTGCTTGGGCCTCAACTGTCTCGGCTGCCCCCCCGCCGTCCCCTCCCCCAAAATGCAATTTTGGCCCCACCATCTTCCCCTTCCTCAGAGACACTCTGAGTGCTCTGAGTGCAGAACAGGGCTAAGTGTTGGCCTCGGCGTGGCATGCCGAACCCCAAAGGGAAACCAAAGGGGTTTGGTATGCCACGTCGAGGCCCACAGCTTTCCACCCTGGAGCCTTGCCACTTCTCCCATTGGTCCTGGGGCCAGTGGCAGCTTCCATGCGTCATGGTGAAAGTAAAACATTCTGGGACAACCCTCTGCAGGGGGGGCCTAGAGGCCCTACCTAGGATATTTATTTATAACCTCCTTGCTCAATACACAGCACACAAACTCCTAAGCGACAGGGCCAGGACAGCCCACCTGCCTTTCCAGTGTTGCAAACACTGGGACCACAATCACATGCAGCTAGCTTTTTGCCCAACACAAGCCCACACTAATAACCAAAAAAAATTCAAACCCTTGATGGGTGGCCCTGTGCCCTGAAAGAACAGGCCAGAGCCAGCCACAAACATCCCCCTCTTCCTTGCCTGCATCATTCACAGCCACAGAGACCCAACAAAAGCCTCCACGGCTGCTGGCTTGTTCATGTTTTGGCCTCAACTGTCTTGGCTGTCCCAAAATTTGAAAATAAAAGAAGCCATTTTGGCCCCACCATCTTCCCCTGCCTCAATAGATAATTATGGCAAACACCAGGTCCACACTCGCATGCAGCTTTTTGCCCAACACCAGCCCCCAGTAATTTGGAAAAAAAAAAATTCGAACCCTTGACGAATGGCCCTGTCCCCTGAAAAAAGAGGCCATGGCAGGACAAGCATCACATACTGCACATTCAGCTGTTCTCCATGCTGCAAGGGAGCAACACAGTGGATATTCAGGGGTAAAAAAAGTCCGCACAGGAAAATAAGTGGAGCAGAATATGTGGGGGCAGCACACAACACTCAAAACCAGAGCCACACTCCAGCTGCCAGGCAAGCTGTGAGTGGCAAGATCACCACTACTGCATCCCCAGGAGCCTCCCAAAACCCCTGATAAGGCTGCTGAGTCCACCCCAGTGCTGACCCCAGCCTCCTCTACCCAACTCAGGGTAACCTGCCATGCACCAGACCACGTATGGAACAGGCATTCCCCAGGGACAGTTAGCAGTGGCACAGTCCCACTGTTAGTTGTCCTCAGGGAACCAAATGTCCATGCTCATGTGAACACGGCAAGAGAGAGCATGTAACTGTGTACAGGACACCAGAGAATATATGAGGGAGGGACATAGCTAGATGGGGAAATACTTTGAAAAATCTTATTGCCAGCATGTAATTTTCCTTTCTTTTTCATCCTGGAAAGGAAAATTCAATATAGCAAAGGAAATAGGAGTGACAAATAGTAAAAATAAGGAGTTGAAAGAGACAGGCTGTATCTGTATGGATGACTATGGCCAGTCAGCTCGTAGTGAATGATTAAACAAGAGAAAGAGAGTATTAGGCCTGTGCCAATAGGGAAGTATTCGATTTGGATTTGGATTTGGATTCAGCTGATTCAGAGGACAGTGATTCAATTCAGAGATTTAGATCAATGTCCCAAATTGATTTGGCTAAACTGGCTTTGGAAGATTCAGCACCAGTTCAGAGAGATTTGGAGTTTCAGCCATAGACTATAATGGGGAATCACTGAAATACCTGTAACTTTGTCATTTTTTGGCTGATTCGGATAAAAATTGCAAAGATGGTAGTTCCTTCTGGGGGTATGAAGCCTGCCAAGTTTCAAGGAGATAGGTACAGTGGTTTCTGGGATACTGCACCTCAGGCTGCTGACAAGCAAAACTCAAGACGTATGTGACTGTGTCTGCTTGTTAAGGCGCTGAGGCCTCTACACAACACAGTAGTGTGCCCCAATGAGGTATCCTCCCCCCCTACAGCCTCAGTCTGGTCCATTACTTCAAATGACAACAGGTAATAATAACTTAAAAAGCAACACAGTAGCACCAGCAGCATCTCAGCCAGCCAAACTGTGACAGAGCCTTCTTTTCTTTCCTGCAGGAGCTTATTCTCCAGCAGCTGCCAAAGAAGTCTCCCTGCCAGTCCCAGCCCTGGGGCTTAGATGTGCGACCTTCCAGTCAGCTAACCAAGGACAGGTGCCAGGGGTGTTAGTCTAATGACATGGCACTGGCAGAAAAGGTTATTTGGGTCAATCTTGTATCTGATACCAAGCAAGTCTTTTTCCTGAGTTTTTGCATATTTAGCTACTATTTAACCATTAAAATATGAAAGACTTGATTTTATAAAAGTTTTCAATTATTTTCAACTAAAAGATACCTTACTCAATAGAATACGGTCATATCAATTTTTTCCACACACATGCAGTTTTTGAATTTGTGATGTTAAAAATGCATTATCTTCCTCATTTTAAGTATACAAATCAGCCTGTGTCATTAGCAATTATGGTAGCAGTATACTACAGTAAAAATGGCTCATGAAATGTAGTCACAACATATAATAGTACGTGAACAGCTATAATAGGTGCAAACCTGGGAATTTCTGGAAGATGTTTAATCATTTCTGTGTAGCCTCAAATCATTTATGTCACCCTAGAGGCTCAGGTCAATGCATTCTTAAACATTACAGGCAATATAATCTGTAAACCTTTTTAAGTACAAAATAGGCAGGGTATCTAAAACATTGACTTGAATTCACTGAGTTGTAGGTTTTCTGTCTTTCAAGTCATTACATCAGGATATAGCACGCCTAGCAATTGGCAATAAAGCTCTCAAGGCAACTGAAGAAGCTTTAAATTTATCTTCTGGGGGTGGTATTTGTCTATCCTCAAAGGCATCTGCCAAGTTATTGGGGAAGAATTACCATATTCTTTGTCAGCACTGTCACTGCTACATTGATTGTGGGGACACTTATATGGGAGATAGGAGTCAAGGGCGACTGGTGCCTCTTGAGCGTGACTTGGGCGGGGGGGTGTCCCCCAGGGGTCGAGCCCACTGACCTGGGGAGGGAGGGTCCCCCCCAGCCACTTCCGGAAGCAGCGTGGCCACTTTTGCTGGAGGCCCTGCTCCCCAGCCAGCACTTGCATGGGGGGCACCGGTTCTCCCACCTGCTCCCCTGCCCGCTGCCTGAAAAGGGAGTGTGGCCTGACACTATGAATCTTGTATTCTTGGCTGCACTGTGGTAGTTCCACCAGGAGGAGTGAAAAGTGCAGTCACTCATGCTATTTTATAGATTCATCGTGGGAATTGAGTGTGATCACTCCCCCAGGAGGCTGTTATATTAAAAGTGTACAAAGCCACCTTTGGATGAAACTGGCATTAGCTGCTATGCTTTGTTCTGAACTCTGTGCTGTCAGTGGGTTAGGCCTGCTCTGGAGCACACCTACCAGACTGGGCTCCTTAGAGGATTCAGGCCTTGGACTGCTAATCTGTGAAGCCAAAAACACACTTAGGTTTGAGACAGGTGCCAAAATACTCACTAGAGTAGCAGAACTTCTGGCATTTAAGTTACTTTTCTGGCAAAAGCTTGGGTACCTACAGACCCTCAGATACCTAAGCACCAAGTAAAAGGAAAGGATTTTAGTAGATCAAATTTTTGTCTTAGGAGCTTAAATTCTACTTAATTCTCCTTGCATATTCCCCCCCACCCCCATAGCTGTTCTTTTTTTCAGTCCTAAACGACCTCTTTAAAGGAAGAATGCAGGATAATGGTAAATTCAGTCTAAGTTTTGGATGGGAGGTATTAACTCATTCCTATTTATCTAGCTCATCTTCTATCTTTGACTAGATTTTGAGAGACCACCAGTCTCTTCCCATGGCTTTACGTAGTTTTGGGAAAAGAATTTCTCTTCAGTTTCTGGATCAGTTTTACTATGCTCATGTCATTTTTGCTGATAAGAGGGGGTCAGCTGTAGCCACAGACTCTGAAGTCTCTCCGTGTTTAAAGCTCAGAAAGGGTTTCTGCCACTCAGCACGCAGCATGTCAGCAGAATCTGAAGGGTACCACTACTTCTCAGGGTTACTTCAAAATGGATCACAATTAGAGCTATCTAAAGTCCAGGCAGAAAGTCAAATTTACCTGGAAACAGTGGGAGTTCAGATTCTATTCAACCAGCAAACCATATCAGCCAGATTTACCTGTGTTCTGCATGCCTGACCTAATGCTCAAGGCACCCTACACATACTTTCCACAACAACCCCTGGACTCAGGTCAAATAAAAGATTCAGTACCTTAGATAAAATTTGTAATTTAAAGCACAATGTAGCCACACATTTAAAGCACAAAACAAAATAAATTAGTAGCCTTGGTTCAAACATAATTTCCACCCCTTGGTACAGTGCCAGTTCCTGCCAGGGAATAAACACGTGAGCTGCACTATATCAACCTTCAACAGACTGGTTTGATGCTTAACAACAAGGAGTTAAATAAGGGAATGCTTCCAGATGGGTTGGAGATTGTGTCAGTAATGTGCATCAAATCACTTGGCCATGTGTCCAGGACTTCAGTGAAATAAATTAAATAGCTACTTGTTATAGCACTAGATATGGGAATTCTAAGGCAAAACTGAACACCAAACATGTCTTCTCATTTCAATATGTAATTTAGAGTGCACATAAAAGAATGTTCACGCATTTTGGTTCAAGTGTACTCACATCATGTAATCCACCACCTGGGCCATTTTTATATATCGGCAGGAAGAAGCATATTTAGCTTGGCTGACTTTAACAAGCCCACTTCGTATACAGTGTTCCTGCAATAACGCAATTAGCATTCATTCAGTTAAAATCAGTAATTTCTATACTTCAAAAATAGTAGTTAAAAACTATGGAAACTTGCATATAAAAGCCACTTCAGTGAAACTATAATCTGCAGCTAAAGAAAACAGAATGACAAAGTCCTGATAAGTATAATTCTTTTTTTTTTTTTTTTAACTAATGAGCCAGAAAGGAAAAAAAATAATTTTTTCTTGGTTTATTGGAGACTATTATGATAATAAAATGCATAGAAAATTAGATGTAATGTGGTAAAAAAACCTTGTATTCCTTACTTTGGCAACATGTACTCTGTGAAAGTGAGCAGACAGATTATGGAAGGCAGAAAACTTTAATTTAAGGTTAAATTACTCTACACTATTTATCACTTATTGTCCATTATGCTGGCTATTTACTCTGTCCTGAAACCTCATTTGATTGTGGTCAGCTGCTGATGGCAAATGGAATCCTTTTTTTTTTTTTTCCTAACCAGGTCAGTTACACACATCTCATCAAAACAAAATTATTTTAATGCCAAAGCAATGTATACTTGCTTTTAGAAAGCTACTTACTTTCCTATTGTTGTACATCAAAACTGTGTAGAGTTTATCATCCGCTTGAACTCTATTTGGTGTTGCTATGACAACAGCAGGTGCATAATAATAATCTCCCATCTGTATCCCAGTTCTGGAGAACACATAGTCCCCAACCTATATACCAAAAAAAGAGTTGGGTTGCAAAAGCATCATAATACTAGTTTTACATGGCATAAAAAACAGATATTCGGACAGTTTGACTACACAAAACACAGTGCTAATGTGTTTCAGTGCCTTAATATGAAACACTAGTGGAACAGGTAAAGAATCTGATACTGCCGGTGCTGACTACTCTTCAGTGTCCACTGGCTCAGCCCCTTGGAGTGTCAGTTCACAAAACAGGAATATATGGAAGAGTCCTACAGAATTTCAGAGAAACAAACAAATAGATTTCCTAGAACCTAGAAATTATTCTAACTCTTAAATCTTTAGAAGATAATTATGAACTATACTCTGCTTTGTATACTGTATAGGGTTTTAATCCCTTCTGTCAAACTCTATAGCAGGATAATTCTTTAATTAAGATCCATAAAATAATTATTTTAAAAAAATAAAAAATTATAAAAAATGATAAATGTTCTACTATATTCTGCAGACTTTTCCAGAAAGGATTCTCCCTACACAGAATACAAGGGTCTGTTCTTAATGTCAATAGGCATTATTCATATTCTCTAGGAAAAAAAGTCATGTTTCTAGTTTTAAAAATGATTGAAGCAGAGTAGTGTATCACTATTTGTATCCACCATATCTGCAGCAACTATAATAAGCATAATTTAAAGGAGAATCATGATAAAAGATGGTTAGCATATTGTTCTAATTTTAAACTGACCCAAACACATAAGTCATTCCCACATTTCAGTTTTAGCAAAACCCTCTTTTACCTGAATATAAATCAATAACTACAGATCAAGTCCTTACAGCTACTGCCCTTACAAAATCTCACAAAAGAATCCAATAACTATGAAAAGGATCCAAAAGGTTAAACACACTAAAAATACTAATTTAAAAACCATATAGTCCCAAGTCAGTTGACATACCAGTGTTAATGCACCTTAGCACGTCTACACATGCATTAAAGTGCTTTAGCCATTGTGCCTAAATTTGATACCTCCTTTTGCCTAAAATCACCATTTTTAAGGCGCATTAAGGGCGCACACATGTAGACACGTGCCCTTAATGCACCTTAAATCAAGCTAAAGCTCCTTAAATCAGCATGTGTAGATGTATCCAGAGAATCTTAAAGTTTTCAAATGTTTTCAAATTATGGAAATGACCAAACTATTATTTATCAACTTGTTTGTAAGCAAATGGCAAAACAAAGTTAATGATGAACATATGTTCCCTCAAAAATAATAATAGCTTTTCACCTGCAAAGATGGGCAAGGCATAGCACCCCCCACAATAATAATGAATTTAATTGGTACAATGTGCGTCTCTCCATAGCTGAAGTCAACAAGTGCACGGGTGGAACTGATACTTTTCATCACTGTCCCTAAGGGAAAAAATATTTTTAAATGATATTCCATTTACATATTATTTTTATCCATTATGGAAGAATTTTAAAAATCCAGTAGAGTGTAATATGGCAGTGTACTTCTTGCATTCAAATGTATATTTGTATTTAGTTTTCATTATTTTCATTTACTAGATAAACAGCATGGAAATGTACTGTACAGGACACATGCATAAAGTCATTGCCACAGAGAGTTACAATTTAAGGTCCCAGGCCTAAAAAACGATTATGTACATTTTTGCAAGAAAACACACTAATCCACAGTTATGCTCACTTATGAAAAGCTACACATATGCATTACTGTCTGAAGGACTGGGACCTAAGAGAGAATGTACTTGGTAAAAGGACAACTTCAAAATCCAGTGTTATATATACATTACTACTACTACAACTACCTTAAAACACTGTAGGTACAAAATAACCTCTAAGTAAAGTGTTTATAAAGCTTAACAGAAGCAAAAGCAATACTTTTATTTGGGCCCTAATTCAGCAAGCCTTGATGTCCATGCCTAACTTCAATCTTGTAAGCAGGCCAAATAACTTCCATGGAACTATTCACATATCTAAAATCAGGTACGGACTTAAGTATTCTGCTGAATTAGGACCATAATGAAAAAGCAAACAACTACTGACTTGCCATGTTACTCTGAGATATTCATTTAAGCTTTCTGTGCTTATTTCCTTGTTTGTCAACTAGGGAATTTAATACTCATCCACCCTAAGATAGAAAGCCGCTCTATAAATACTCTAAAAATAATCTACTTCTGCTGGTAAAAAGTTGGTAAAATGATTGCAATGGTCTTCTCACTGGATACAGTATGTGTAGTTTTGTTATCTGGAACCTGCTGCAAGTGACTCACATGCATTTTATTTCATTTACTGAAAGGGCCAAATATTCAAAAGAGGGTAAAACTAACAGTGTGGCGCACAATAATCCAATTTGTGTGCATGAAAGGATTTTTTAAGGACACTCTTGTAAACAGATTGGTTGCCCTCTCCCCTGAAAAAATATCCTTAGTATGAAAAGCAGAATAACAAACTGAAAACATTTAGTAAACTTTTTTATTCTTATATATCATTATTACCATGCCGAGCCCACCATCAACATTATGTTTTGAATTATAACATTGAAAAATAAAATTGTAGGTGAATATCTGAGTTACACTCCATTCATTCTGATTCATTCAAAAGTAGGAAAAACACCACTGATTTTTCACATTACTTCCCTTTCATTCATCTGCTGTTTTATCCAGTTTCCATTTGGCAACGAAGAGGTTTTCAACAAAAATACATGCCATCAAAAGACTATTCTTAACTAATATTTCAAAACTAAATAAACACCAAGATGATTTTTGATCCAACCGTAAAATTAAAGAACTTCATTTGTGGCTGACTGTCACCCTAAGTAAAGTACTATTAGAGTGCACATATAACAATAATTTCATAATAAATGCCTTTATCAAAGTATTCTATATTTATTTTAATTTTAAATTATTCAGTGTTCATGAAAACACAGTATTAAGAACATGAGCTGAAGGCCAGACATAGGGCTGGTCAGACGAGGGATAACCTTGTATGCAGAATTCTGCCAAGATATTTCAATCCATAGTACCCACACTATTCCATTTCTGCACCTCTCCTAAGAATAAAAGGGGTAATAATTATACCACAGTGTTTTCTGAGGTAGGCAAGTGTCCCAGGATATTATATCATCCATATGAGAAGGTTTGATTTGAATTTTTCAAATGCCACATGATGGAACACAATTTTACACTATAAGTATAATTGTATCATAGTACTTAGGATCAGAAGAGACCTAAACAGATCATCAGGTCCGACCCCCCTGTCCCGGGCAGAATTACGTTCCAGGATCATATAACCCTAGCCAAATATCTGTCCAGCCTCCTCTTGAAGACCCCAAGGTAGGAGAGAGTACCACCTCCCTTGGGAGCCCATTCCAGAGCCTGGCAGCCCTAACTGCAAAGTAATGTCTCCTGATGTCCAGCATGAACCTTCTCTCTAACAATTTGTGGCCGTTATTCCTAGTAACCCTGGGTGGTGCCCAAGGGAATAGAGCCTCCCCCAATTCCCGCTGGTCCCCTCTGGTGACTTTGTAAACAGCCACCAGATCCCCTCTCAGCCTTCTCTTGTGGAAGCTGAATAGGTTCAGACCCTTTAGCCTCCCTTCGTAGGGCCTGCCCTGTTGCCCTCTGACCATGCGAGTGGCCCTCCTCTGGACCCTCTCCATGTTGTCCACATCCCTCTTGAAGTGCAGCACCCGGAACTGGATGAAGTACTCCAGCTGTGGCCTGACCAATGCCACATAGAGGGGAAGGATCACCTCCTTGGACCTGCTTGTGATGCATCTGTAGATGCATGACAAGGTGCGGTTACCCTTACTGACTGCTTCCTCGCATTGGCAGCTCATGTTCATCCTGGAGTCAACAATGACTCCAAGATCCCTTTCTGTCACCATGTTGACAAGAAGGGTGTTTCCCAGCCTATAGGTGTGTTGCTGGTTCCTTCTCCCTAGATGCAGCACCTTGCACTTTTCTGCATTGAATTCCATCCTATTCTCATCCGCTCATCTCTGTAACCTGTCTAGATCTAGCTGGATTCTGTCCCTCCCCTCCAGAGTGCCCACCTCGCCCCACAACTTGATGTCCTCAGTGAATTTGGACAGCATGCTTTCCACGCCCACATTGAGATCACTGATAAGGACGTTGGCTTATAATTCAACAAAATGGCAAACATCTAGTAAATGTTTTGAACAAATAAATGGTGCACTTTTCTGCACTTTGCTAAATCCTAAATGGAAATAAACTAGCACAGCAAGAGCAAAGAATAAATTGATACTAGCTTCTAATTTAAAAGGAGTACCACATTTGTTGCTAAACCTTTCCACCTTCTTAAATAAATACACCTATCAGTAAGAGGTCTGCATAGTTTTCTGACCTTATAAAAAGTACTGTGTGGGGAAGAAAAAGATTAAAAATTCCAGCTTAAATCAAATTAAAACTATGCAAAATGAAAACAAAATAGTAAATGTTTATTTTTATCTTGTCTTTTCAACAAGCAAGGAGATGTTCGCATATGCACAAAAATACTTACCTGGGAAATATAATCCTGTGAGGTCTGATCTTGCAATCACCTTTTGGCCTTTGAGCGTTTCAAACACTTTTCCTTTTTTAGTTTGTGACCTTATACTCTCTTCTTTAAGATTCTGAAACTGAAGAGAAAACAAGATAGCCTTCACAATGATAACCGGTCAGGACATAGCTATCTTTTGAATGAATGATATATTCATGTAATTTCATGTCATGGATTAAATCTGTGAGGTTGTCGAAAATTCACAATAAAGTAAATTACTATAAATAACAAGACCTCTTAACAAACACAGCTTTAAAACTATCTAGGCCAGAGGTTCTCAAACTGTGATCCAGAGCTCCATTCAGGCGGTTCACAGAAAGGTGACCTAAGGCAAAAGCTGACAAGCATTACACCCAACTTCCCAGAACTTTGCTCAAAAAAACAGGCACATCCATCACATTAGAAAGGTAAAACTACTAATATTAAAATATGAGTTGTGTGCTTTGACTTATAGAACAAAAAAAAGTTTATCAAGTGGTCCGCCGAGACCCTCAGCGATTTTCAAGTGGTCTGCGGAAAAAAAAGTTTGAGAACCACTGATCTAGGCTATCTAATAGTTTCCATTTTAAGATCCTCATTTTAGTTGCTCATAACAATTCTAGTATTTGACTATTCAGACCGAAAAGTTTCTAAGGTAGATTTATGCCTTAAAGTTGGGGGTGGGGACTGTATAATTTCAACAGATGCAGTTAATATCCAAGACTAAGGGGAAATTTGTTAGTTTTAGGGCTAACTGAAAATCTCTCTTGGAAACCGTGTTTCTCTAGCAAAATGGGTTTTCAGTCAAATAAGTCATTTTCATGAAAAGGATCTGCTTAGCATAGAAGGATTCCAGTTGTCTTAAAAAGCAAAAAACAAAACAAAACAAAGACATACCAAAAAAGCTTCTACAGGAAAAAAAAAAGTCTGCCCCAAACTGAAAATTTCACTTCACAAATGTCTAAATATTTTCAGATTGTCCAACCAATCCAAAATGTTTCAACACAAACATCCAGTTTTGGGCTCCCCACTATAGAAAGGATGTGGACAAGATGGAGAGAGTCCAGCAGAGGGCAATGAAAATGGTTCTGGGCTGCGACACATGACTTCTGAGAAGAGGCTGAGGGAACTGGGCTTATTTAGTCTGCAAAAGAGATTGAGAGAGGATCTGATAGCAGCCTTTAACTACCTGAAGGGGGGTTTGAAAGAGGATGGAGCCAGACTGTTCTCAGCGGTGACAGATAACAGAAGAAGGAGCAACAGTCTCAACTTGCAGCAAGGGAGGTTTAGGTTAGATATTAAAAAAACCCTCTCTCACTAGGATGGTGGTGAAGCACTGGAACAGGTTACCAAGAGAGGTGGTGGAATCTCCATCCTTGAAGGTTAAGGCCCAGATTGACGAAGCCCTGGATGGAATGATCTAGTTGGGGCTGGTCCTGCTCTGAGCAGGAGGTTGGACTAGATGCGCTTCTGAGGTCCCTTCCAACCTTAATTTTCTATGATTCTATAGCTCCTCTCCCACCCATATAGCTCCTTCAATAGGAGCTTTTCCACAATTACTGGCCTCCAAGAATCCCTGAAGCAAAACCAAGTAGGGTACTGTTACATGTTACACTTAGCATGTTATATTTAGATCGTAGTAAGCATTAATATGACTTTAAACGTTTTCTATGTAGTAGCATGTTAATGGTTACTATGATCTAAATATAAATTGTAGCACCATGGTAGAGCCTTGAACCAGCTCCAGTGGGATCTTAGCCAGGGCTAAGACAGAAAAATCAACTAATTTTTGTTCTCAGCCCTAGGATTGCACCAAGCCGGTTGAAGGCTTCCATGCAGTGCAGGGACTGGGAGCAACACCAGCATGGCACGGGAGCCAGTCCCAGCCCCCACACCACACCACACCACACCAGAGCCAGTTCAAGTATCCAGGGCAGTGTGGGGCTGGAAGCAACACTGGTATCCAGCCCCCACACTGTACAAGACCTAGTTCAAGGCTCCAGGAGCAACGTCAACACGACACAGAAGCAGATCCCTGCCCTCCAAGTACACAGGAGCTGGTTCAAGGCTCTGGTGTGATGCAGGGGCTGAGAGCAACACCAGGGTCCAGTGCCAGCCCCTGCAGCACTGTTGGTTGAAGGGTCAAAATTATTTTTCACTAGAATTAGCTGATGTACACAAAAGTGAGCTCAAAGGCTAGATCTGGCCCCACCCCCCATCTGCCCCCGGGTCTGATCTGACCCAAACGGGCCACAATGCATGCCTGTGACACAGGACTAGTCCGTGGGCCAGATCCAGCCCATGAAACCCTTTCCTCCTTCCTCTCCCAGCATACCTAATTTGACAGCTGCTTCAGCCAGTCTGGAACCCACACTGCTTGCTGTGCAGATCCTGGAGCAGCTGAAAGCTGAAATGGGCACTGCATGCAGTGCAGCAGAGCCAAACTGGCTACAGCATGTGTGCAAGCGGCTGCCCCAACTGGACTACATCACAGTAGTGTCTGCTCTGGCACAAGCACCATACACGGCACTTGCTCCAGCTCAAGTCCTGGACTGGCTGGAGCAAGTACCTTGTGCAGCAATGTGGCCAGGGCAGCCACTACATGAAGCATGACTGCACACGGTGCCTGTTCCGACCACTCCAGGATCTTTGCCACACACAGCACAGGTTTCAGGCCAGCTGGAGCAGCTGCTGCATCAGGTATGCTAGGAGAGGAGAAAGGGTCCATGGGCCAGATGAGTTTAACACCCCTGCTGTAGACTCTCTCCTAGGCAATATGGAGTAAGATAAGGATGATGATGCCTCCTCACTAGAACACAGAGCAAGAAAGAAGCTGACGGGAGACAGGTGGGACCTATGGAGGCAGGCAGCAGTTGAGAAAAGAAATGGACCAGGGATAGAAGAGAACAATACTGAATGAGACAAGAGTCCTGAAGAAAAAAAAAAACTGTATGCAAACATGCTGAGCAAAGACTACTTCACAGTGCAAAGGCAAAAGGCAAGCATGAGAACTACAACTGAATAACGTAACTGGCATTTTCTAGTTCTGAGTTCATAGCGTCGCAATTCTCTAATATTCATTTAACCTTGAGCATTTTTGCATCATTCTAGGTATTTTATATGCCACTCCTTAAAGGAATTGCATGTCTGCCTTCTTGGGGAAGATGGGACAGTGGTTTCTACTCAAGCAGGTATCTTCTCCCCACCGTTCAAGACAGATTTTACAGAGAAGCTTCCCACCTCCCCCATAAAACATATATATTAAGACATGGGATCTCTGGTTCCTGTCCATCAGTATTCTGAAGGGTATAAATATTTGATCCAACAGGCTGCACACCAAACCCCACTATCTACCTGGTATAATTTTCCCTGCCCCACAGGCTCTGTCAGCTTGCTCTGCACAACATCTCCACTGCTGTCATCAGGGATCACAAAATGTTACCCTACCAGCTAAAAGTCCAAGTTACACATTTCAGGTTTTTGTTTCCTGAAAAAGTTATGGAAGCAATATTTTAAAGTAGTAAAAAAAAAAAATCAGTTCTCTCTGATACTGGAAATCCTGTAATGTCAATAAACTTTGCAAGCAAATTTTAGTAATCCCGAAAAATAACATTTCAATATTGCTCAACAGTAATAGGGACATTATGTTCAAATGGCAATGTATTATTGTTCTCTCCAGATTGCTGAAGTCAATGCATCTGAATATAAATTAGGGTAAAGTATGAAGCTAAATAAATCAAATATTTTTCCCCATTCATTTTTAAAGCACTAACTCATTTGCATAACTGGCAAAAAATAATGCATGCACCCATTTCCAACATCACAAAAATATATTGTTTGAAACCAGAAAGCTTTTCATTAGATTCCCACAAACCTACTTACTCACTGTAGTAATCCACAAAACTTCTCCGGATAAAGCTGGCTGTTAACTTCCTCACTGCCTGAGTAATTTTATTTCCTAACACAGGGACATTGGCTTTGAGTCCAAGAATCCCATGAAAGCATCAGCAGTGCCAAAGATGGGCATATTTTTTGTTCCTAGTTTCCTTGTAATTATCATTAACCCTTCCTAAAACCTTTCCACCACGCTGGGCTTGTCTACACAAGACATTTTACTGATCAGTAGCGTAGTTTACCATGCAGTAAGCGTGAGCATCAAAGCAATTTCCGTGCACATGTATAGGAGTCCTCAGAGCCACTCTAATTAAAATGTGCCCCCACCCCCATGTATGAACACCCAGTGAGTCAAATCTGACTTCCATTGATATCAATGCGCCTATCCACTTAAGATCAGGCACATTTTGGCCCACTTTTGTTTTTGATTTCACTTTAAAAAATACTAGGGCTAGGGACAGACATTACACATAAACTGGTTTAAGTGATCAGAAACTGGTTTAAACCTGTAACAGAACAGATGTTCAGTGCACATAAACGAGTTTGAAAATAACTGAAACTGGTTTGAGATAAACCTGGCTGAATGTAGTATCAGACTTAACTGATTTGAGTCAAACTGGTTTATGCAATGTCTGTCCCAGAACCTTGCTGATTTAAGTTAAACCAGACTCCCCCAGCATCCTGGTATGCTCTTGGGCTGGGTAGGCTGGCACAGCAGAGCTACCCTCCCCACCCCCCGCAATCTGCCTGGTTTCTCTGTGCTAAATAGGGATTATTCCCACCCGCCACCCCCTGCTTTAGCAGACACCTTCACGTTAGCTAGCAGACCACATGCTGGCTACAGTCCATGTTGTGGGAGATGACAGGCAGACAGGCTTTTTGGAGCTAATCAACAGGTAGCTTAATGTCCTTCTTTGGAAACGCTGTTGGAGAACAGCTGCTTGCTCCCCTCCCTCCCCCTCACCACTTTCTGCTAAGCACAAATTTCCCCCTCCCCTCTGCCTTGCTGAGGAGGCAGCTGTATATTAGCCAGCAGACCACATGCTAGGTATGTGCTGAATCAACAGATAGGCAACGACTCTCTCTTTTCTTAATGGGGCAATAAATACTGAGATACGGGTGATAAACACTGTTATCAGCTCCCCCCTTTCCCCAGCTTGCTTGCCTGTCAGTTTGATGCAGACAGTACTGTATACAGAAGCATGG